TCACACTTGGCTATCATACCTCATACGTTTCATCCACATGATCTCTCACTTTCCCCTACACCTGATCCCACACCAACTGGCTCCGTGCTACCTGGTCTCTCACTTTCATAACCACCTGGTTCTCACTTCTCGTAATACCTGGCACGCTTCACTGCTCTCGCAACTTGGTCCTTCACTTGTCTGGCCCTGTACCAGGCTGCTACAAGTGTCGTCACCAATTGGTATTGCCAAGCCATCTTCTCATACCCCTGGTATTAATGGTTTCCCATGAGCACACTCACCTAGAAGTGATCATCTATTTATAGCTACACCAGCACTTATAGGCTCGCTGTGTCCTGTCTTTAATGTTCAATCTATATTGTACGCTTAATAAAGTGTCTAGGGATTGTAGCACTTACTACCTTCTCTTCTAACCAATGTTCGTGAACAATGAACTTGATAGTATTCTCTCAGCACCGTGTTGTTCTCAGTGTACAACAATGGCAGTTTATTTTCCCTGGGCTATAGGTCTTAACAGCAATGCTGTATGGCCTTTGTGGGTTTAGCGCGTAGTTTTTATTATAATATAGATCCAAAAAAATATTCTGTTTCCTTTTCATATATGTTCTTGTATGTGACGATCCACCTTTCTAAATATTACATATAGTCGAGTTCTGGCAGCCATTTTCTAGCTCTTTGGAATTTTTTTCGAACTTTCCATAACTTTTAGGTGCAGAAATCGCACCAACGTTAAGTAGTCAGTGTTGGCCTAGTATACTTCTTGAAGAACTGTTTAACATTTCCACATCCATATACCTGAAGATTATTATATGCTTTGCCCGTGTAACATGACAGTTTCATGATTCCTTCTGTTTTGCTCTTCCGGTTTGTCTGTAAATATATGTACAGTTCGCCGAGTTTGCGATAATCTCTATTGTAGGGATTATGATAATGGTACTGCACAGGCTAATTGTAACCTTAATGACCCTCGTTCATTTGATAGGCTTTAGGCCTAACTTAATCATTTTGATGTCGCATGGTGTGTATGTATGTAGTATGTATGTATATATATATATATATATATATATATATATATATATATATATATATATATATATATATATATATATATATATATATATATACTCGGGAGATTTATGTACCTTGTGTGTATATACAGTAAGAGCTAATCCTCCATTTGGGAATTAAAGTATTCTTGATAGTATACAGTGTTAATGACCCTGGAGCAGACGATATTTTTTTTTAAATGTACAAACCAACTATTCCCGTCCTCGTTAAAATGCCCTTGTTGACATTTCTGCAACACTCCTGCGGCCAATCCTGACATACTGAGCGAGGACGGCGCCTCACAACATAAACAAATTATGTCATAATTAAACACGTTTTTCTCCTGTTATTACCTGGAGACCTGGAGAGAGTTCCGGGTGTCATCGCCCACCGTGGCCCAGTCTGTGACCAGGCCTTATTGCATGATACTTCTCCAACAGTTCGGTAACTTGTCTTTCTGGCCCCTACCAAACAGAGAATCGAATCTCCATCACTGAATGGCTGGAATGATATTGGAAGTAATGACTTAGAAAGTATATCATATATCGCGGGTGTGATAAGAGCCATGTTGAGCTCCAGCAGCAGATGACTCGTTATTAACCTGTTAGAAGTGACCAATGGGGCTCGAGCGTGCATTATGCATGCAGGATGTGGGTATGTCCGCATGCGCGTGTATGCGTGTGTGGTTGTAGTGAATGGATGTGCTCTTCTCTGATTATGTTTGTGGATATTTTGTCTTAGTTCCTGAATACTCCTCTAAGATGTGTCAGTCAAGCATACACTGACGATGCTATCTGGTTTATGTGCTTCTCTGGTAATATATTTGTCGTGATTTTGACCCCAAGTTCCTTTCTGTCTCTGGTACAGTCATTTTTTTTTCTTCCTCGGGTTTGTATTACGTTTCTAGTTAGTTTTTGTTCCCACTTTGCGACTGTCATGTAGAATAGGTTAGCGGCGCACCGCTGACGTATCTACTTTCGCTAAAAAAATCTGGTCTCACTTCTTGTTTACCGATCCTCATTGCCTTTCATTTACTCAGGTTAAATTCCAAGAGAAATTCGTGTGACAAGATTTTTTTTTTTTTTTTGCCTATGTATGTCGGTTTCCACGAGTTTGGTATCAGTAAACATAAAAATTTTGTCTCATCAGTTAGGTTATTTACGTATATTGAAAACTGTAAGAACCCCAGTATCGAACTTTGTGGTACCTTACTTGTTTAGGCTAAAGAAAAATAGAGCTTGAAAACGAACACAAGAGAGCGAAAGCGAGTGCGAGTATGAGGACGAGAGAGGGAGATGAAGCGAGAGTGGGAAAGTGGTGAGCAGCCAGCTGTGTCAATTAATGTTCGACCACCTGGCCCACTGTGCACCAGGCAACAACACTTCCTTGTGTTTGGTTTTCCCCCCATCACTGGTATCGCCCACGACTACAGAACGCTCACCACTAGTGTTTACAATTACAATGAAACGCATGTTTATAATTAAATACGTGGAAACACACTTGAAATCTAGTCTAGGCGTGTTGAGTGAGAGAGAGTCAGGTTATGTTTAGTGTTGTTGTTGCAGTTGAGATGAAATGGTCTTAATGTCCAAGGGCGTGTCTAGGTAGGAACTTTTTTTTTTTTTTTTTTTTTTTTTTTTTTTTTTTTTTTTAGTAAAATTGGATACATGAACAGTATACTGGTATCTTGACGAGGGTGTGGGTATGGACATGAGAGTGAGCGTGTGGATGTGAGGCAAGGAGAATTTAGCTACATAATATCACATCAAGAGCAAGGCCAGCTGCGACATTCAACAACAAAGAGCACACAAAAAGGTCGAGAAGTGTGTGTTGTGTAGAGCTTGTGCCAGGGATGGTGGTAACCCTCCGTGTGTGTACATACAACTCTCCTTATGTACTCAACATATTTGTGGTTGCAGGGGTCGATTCATTGCTCCTGGCCCCGTCTCTTCGCTGGTCGCTACTAGGTCCACAGTCTCCTTGCTCCATGAGCTTTATCGTATCTCCTTCAAGCTGTGTATGGATCCTGCTTCCACTACCTCACTCTCCAGATTGTTCCACTTCCTGACAAATCTGTGACTGAAGAAATACTTCCTAACATCCATGTGACTCATCTGAGTCTTCAACTTCCATTTGTGACCCCTTGTTGCTGTGTCTCATCTCTGAAACATCCTGATCCTAGCTACCCTGTCAGTTCCTCTCACTATTTTATATGTCGTTATCATGGTCTCCCTGTCCTACATTGTTGTCAGGTCGATTTCCTTTAACCTCTTCTCGTAGGACATTCCCCTTAGCTCCGGGACTAGTCTTGTTGCAGACTTGCACTTTTTGTAATTTCTTGACGTGCTTGACCAAGTGTGGGTTCCAAGCTGGTGCTGCATATTCCAATATGGGCCTGATGTACAAGGTGTACAGAGTCTCAAACGATTCTTTACTAAGGTGTCGAAACGCTATTCTTGGGTTTGCCAGGGGCCCATATACTGCAGCAGGTATTTGGTTGATGTGCGCCTCAGGAAATGTGCTCGGAATTATACTCACCCCAGGATCCTTTTCCTTGAGTGAGGTTTGCAGTCTTTGCTTCCTCCCCCCCCCCAGCCTTTACTCTGCGGTCTTTTTCACCTTTCCCAACCTTCATCGTTTTGCACTTGGTGGGGGGTTAAACTCCAGTAGCCAGTTGCTGGATCAGGCTTGCAGCCTGTCCAGGTCCCTTTGTAGTCCTGCCTGATCTTCATCCGATTGAATTCTTCTCATTAGCTTCACATAATCTGCAAACAGGGACACCTCTGAATCTGTCCCTTCTCTTATATCATTCACATACCAGAAACAGCACCGGCCCTAGGACTGACTCTTGTGCAATCCTGCTAGTCACAGGCGCCCACTCACGTCAGGTTTTCTCTGATCCATTGCAGTGCTGTTCTTGTTATATTTAACCTGCTGCTCTAGCCTTTGCACTAATCTCTTGTGTGAAAATGTGTCGAAAACATTTTTACAACCCTTCAGATGTACATGCAACTCATCCTCAAACAACGATTGATGTGTGTTTTCAACGTTTTTTGAACGTTGCTTGGGAGTAGATATCTACAATGTATTAACCGTCATTATGGTAGTAAGTTCACTACAGAATAAATGCCACTACCCAGTACTGTCATCGCATCCTTCATTGTGAGGTGCGCTGGTTTTCTAGAGGACAGGTTCTCGGTAGATTTAGGAAACTGAAAAATAGTGTTGATAATTTTCTAGAAGAGAAGAATGAGCTGCCAGAGGAAAGAACCCTTTTATGTGATAAGAAATGGCTATTTGATTTAACATTTTTTGTCGTTATAGTGTTAAAAGTTCGTAATATATTTTATGAAAATACAGCAAAAAGTATTTTTTTTTTTAGCTTTTTCACATAGTTGTATTTCACATATCTTAGTTGTGTTTTACATGGCGTCGCTATATTTTATTAGATAATAGTGTAAGATAGACAAATAATAAGGAACCTTTATTGATGACGTTTCGCTCACGCAGTGTATAACTGAATTTGTCTCGTCCGTTGCTGTATTCCACATGGCTTAGATTATTATTATTATTAGTTATATTATTAATGGGAAAGTGCTCAGCCCATATGATTCATTAATAAGCACTGGGGTAGAGTTGGTTTGTTTGATCTGAGGAGGGCAGCACTAAGACCTCAGATCAAGAGCTCTTCAAAAGTACGAAGGCGCCGCTCCTTCCATTGAATGGGATAACAAGGCTTGCTTAAAGAACAAAAAAGCACAATATAGTGACTGGAACAATACACAGATAACTGGCACATAGGAGAGAGGAGCTTACGACGACGTTTCGGTCCGACTTGGAGCATTTACAGTCACACGGTGTGACTTTGTAAATGGTCCAGGTCGGACTGAAGCGTCATCGTAAGCTCCTCTCTCCTATGTACGGGTTATTTGTAGAAGGCTTGCTTACTTTTTGTCTGGGATAACAAGAAATCCAGTGTTGAGGATGTAAACCTCATTTTCTGCACGTTTCCTCTATGCTTACTAAGAGTATTCTGTCTACTTCAGAGAAGGTTATATGAGCCTTCAAAAACGTGTTTAATGCTCTATGGTCGGGTCAGGGCCCCTCGATGGTCGGACCGAGGCTCTCGATGATCGGGTCAGGGTTCTCGTAGATGAGAGCAATGTGGCGGTTGCTCAGCACTAGGTAACGTTCAGATCTGAACGTCTAACACTGGCAGTGTGAGAATGGGTTCGAGTATACAAGAAGTATTGTGGAGAAATTTTCTGCAACCCCTAGGGGAGATCGACGCCCTCTGGGGGGTGGAGAAAATTTTTCCACAGGTGTTTAGGTGGCTCCGCTAAATGACTATTATCTTTACTGAATGTTACTTAACTGTTCTTTGTTATAAGAATTCATTATGTTCTTCACTATATCCTCTGTTATAGTCATTTCCAATATTCTTCGCTAACGACCTGTACGAGTCATTCAGCACAGGGAGCAGCGGAGGCTCGCTGCTCGGTCCAGTAAGCTCGAGAGACACGTGTACTCGACTAGTTTTAATGAAGTCAACAAATAGGTTGGAGCTTCTGCATTCTCTCTAATGTTTCTGCCACTTGTTGGAACTCTCACGAAAGTCGAGGTAATTGAGGTTCGTTTTCCATATACGCGTAGTTAATAGGTAGGGTAATACAAGGATCCCGTAGTAAAGCAAGCTTTTATTGCGCAATGCTTCGCTCATCTCGGAGCTAAACGTTGCAGGTCAGTAACTTTGTATAACCCTTCTTGTAGGCATTTTGCCTTCCAGCCTTCAGGTTAGGTTAGTGTATTTTGAGTTGCTCTTTGATGAACCTGGCTGCAGCTTGTAGACAGGCAGCCACCCTCACTTAAGTTCGCACTATCTGACAGACTACCTCCATGCTTCTGTTTAATTTCAGGTATCATGTAAGCTTGCTAGGGAGTTGTGGTCCATTACTGAGGCGTAGTAGTAGCTTTTTGATGTGGTGGTGACTTCTCTGTTTGTGGTGGTGGCTTCTTAGTATGTGGTGGTAGCTTTTTAACCTGGTGGTGGCGGCTTCATAGTGTGTGGTGGTAGGTTGTTGAGGTGTTTGGGTGACTTTTTTTTTATGTGAGGCTTGGGATGACCTGGGATCACGCAGGAGGGTCACATATTACAGTGAAGAGAGGAGGGTGTGTGTTGTGGGCGCGGAGAAGGCACATGCCAGATAGCAGTGGAGCTATTTGAGTCTAAGGGGGTGTTGGTTGGCACGGGGCACCAGTGGCACCGTGACACTGCCTGGGGCCACACCGTACCACTGTGACTGTAGGGGGACACCACGTAGCTACCTTCACTGGCCCCCTCTCCCCATCCTTTCGTGGTCACCATCCTGAGTGTCATGTGTGTGTAATTAGTGGTGTCAGTGTGTATCAAGACTCGAGGTGTCATGGAGCGTCGGGACTCTGACAGTGAGGTGGAGGGGGAGTCCTTCTCTGAGTGTTACACCGATCTGCCGTCCGATGATAGCACTTCCTCGCCAGGCCAGCACCGCCAGTCGCTGGCTTCGGAAGTGCACGCTGGACTCCCCAAGTCGCCTGGACCGCAACACCTGCTGCGTCCCAAGTCACCACACGGCAGGGAATTTCTACGTAGGTCAGGTTCCAAGCGGCAGGCACCTCAGCCACCCAGCAGACCTCCTCTCAGCACCACACCTGTACCTACGATACCCATGCTCATCAACTCTCCGGTGTCCAGTACCTTAGTCGTACCCAGTAGCTCAGGCGCACCCAGCAACTCAGGCGTACCCAGCAACTCAGGCGTACCCAGCAATTCGACCGCAACCAGCAGCACTCCTGCACCTACTACTATATCCGTACCCAGCCACTCGGCCGTATCTACTACCATACCCGAGGCCAGCGAGCCACCCGGCTCCATCAAGAGTGCTCACCTACAGATAACCTCAGTGTCAGAGCCAAGACAGTCAGTGCCACACCAGCCTCCAGAACACACTCACCGCATCGTCACTCAGTCAGTGCAACCTGCCAGTTCCCAGGCCTTCCATGGTGCCGCAACTGTCTCCACCCCTCACACCTTAACCCACACTCGCCCCATGTCTCCCTCTCGCCCCATGTCTCTACCTCGCTTCATGTCTCCATCTCGCCCCATATCTCCACCTCGCCCCATATCTCCACCTCGCCCCATGTCTCCACCTTGCCCCATGCCCCCACGGTTGCCGACAGGCGTGGAGAAGGTAGCACCCCAGACGCCCATACGATCAGAGTCCTCACAATCTACGACAAGAAACTTCAACAACCTTGTTATTAGACTTATAGATGACGAATCCGACTCTGATACTTACCAGTCCGAATCATTCGATGAGCACATTGTGTTTCAGAATATTCCTACCCCCGGGAGACCTCAGGTCACTGGAGGTCATCAGGTGAACCATGCAGTGACCCCTTCACCCCACCAGGTCATGACCTCTCCATCACCTGTAATAATGACTTCAACGCTTGTAACTCCGCAGTTACAACTGCTAACTTCTCCCGCACAGGTCACAACTGCCTCTACACAGAATCTTACACCTCGGACACTAGCTGTAGTTAATAATCCCAAGCAGAAAGTCAGAGCGGATCTCGTCGAAAATAAAGACATTGTGTATGATAACGATTTCGATTTTTCCGAGAGTTTCGACGAGTCTCCCAACGCGTCGTGTGTGGAGAACGAATCTGAGATGTTCCAGGGTGGAAACCAACATGTTTTGACTCGGGGTCGAGCTAAGGCACTCATGCACTCGGCGTCTGACCCGGGAGTATCACGACCGCGGTGGCAGCACCTTCAGCAGCACCCGCGAGCCCCGGGTCTTGCTGTGCCTCCGCCGCTTGATCAGCTCAGCGAAGAAGAGGCAGAAGACACGGACTATAACAGCTACCAGGATATTCCGCGAGGCAGATTACAGCGGACAGACTCCTTGGTGACTGTGGCACACCTGTACGAGGACCTGCTGGTGTCTACCCGTTTCAGGTTACGCGTGACCCTCACCAACTTGACGGTAGTGGTGGTGGCAGCGGCACTAGTCGTCCCCAATACATCAACCATTCTCTACACTGCATTCAGGTACTCCAGCACAACGTAACACTAACCACGACTGTTCCAGTAATACATGGCACTAACTACAACTGTTCCAGTACATGACACCACAACTGTTCCAGTACTACATGACACTAACCACAACTGTTCCAGTATTACACGACACCAACCACAACTGTTCCAGTACTACATGACACTAACCACATCCAAAGCTAATTTATTACTACGTAACACTAACCACAATTTCAGCTAACACTTCTGCAAACGGCTAATTCTTGAGCACTAACTACGGCTGTGTGACGTACCAGCGTGTGTGTACTAAAAGCAATGATTCGGTGTTTACAGTAAATGTTATGTTTATGTCATGGAATGTGTTGTGTACATAACAAGTTTGGTGGTTGTTTATGTTGTTGATCCTTTTGCGTGTATATGTATTGGTATGTTCTGACTGTTGGGAATAAGACGCATTCACGATCAAGACATAAACTGAAGGAGACGTTTCTCTTCTCGTGGCTTTTTTGGTTTTAAAAGACCACTAGTGGCGAAACTTCTCCTTCAATAAATATCTTGATTGTGCATGTGTGTCTTATGTTTGAAGGTAAATTTATAAGCTGGTGGGTATGACTAGTGTTAGCATGTTAACTGGTGGAATTGACCTGACATGCCTCCGATGTCTTACTGTTAACACAACCTTCAAGGGGAGAGGAGGTGACAAGATGCTGAAAAAGAGCTCTTGATTTACGGAATTGGAGCTACCATATTCGGATCAAACATCATCCGTTTCCATGGTGCTGTATGACCCAAGGGGCTTGGCTCTTCCCATAATACTACTACTACTAATAATAATAACAACGGGTGACTACTTACTGTATATGATCACATGTGTATTTGCAGGTTCAGCTTATCAACTGACATTATAGAAAAGTAGTAGCAAATGTAATTTTAATCGATTTTTTTTTCAGAAACTGTACTTAATACTAATGTGGTCATTGCTGTGCCTGTGTTCTGATTATAGCAGATTGTGTTCGTTTGTGCGGAAACTAGAATAAGAATAGTGAATTAGCAAGTGACGGAGCCTAGAATAATAATGAATTAGCCAGGCGTATTAGACGCATCTCACGTACAAAGGTGGGTTATTTTGGAACTGAATCCCAGAATTCAGTCCACCGCTACACTTGGCACAAAGCTCCTCTTTCTTGATTTTTTATGTATATACGTGTGTGTGTATGTATAAATGTTTGTTGTTTTGCGCATACGCGTGTTCGTGCATTGATAGTCTCAGCTACTAACCTTGCTGGTTTCTGCCATTGTCAAACCTTATCTTGAAACGGTGTATAAATTTTTCCTTCTATTTCCACCCTAAGACTAAAGTACAGTTCACTCCCCACCACTACTCCCAGTACAGTTGATAACTTTAACATGGTGAGATTCTTATTGGAATACTTATTAATATCTCTGTGCTTACCCGTGTCTTCATTTCCACTCACGGAATTCCTTGTCAGTTGTTCTCACCTTTGTATGTATGTAGTTACCTATTTATTCCTGCGAGTTTGAACTCTGTACCTGATCCCTGCTTCTCAATCTGCTGTGGACTGTTGTATTCAGTTACTAATGTGGATGTGTGTTGAATGGGTTTTCACATACAGGGTGGGTCACGATGTCTTGTTGCTCTGGCAGAAATGTGAACTGTGTCTACAGTAAACATGTTATTTTTTTTTCTTCGTGTTACGTGAACGTGTCCATTAATGATACAGGTAATAAACCATTGAACAACGGATTGATGTCAATGTCTGGATCCACGAGCGTCCACAATCAGGGAAAACCTTGGAAGAAGTGTGCCACGGTTTCCAGACGTGATTCTGTCAGGAAGCTTCCCTGAAAGCGCGACACTGACGACAATCAGTTGTTTAGGGATTTAATTGCTTGTTTCAATCATGAGTACGTTTACTTGGAAAAGGTAAACTAATACTGCCGACATAGGTGCTAGAATAACAAGACGTTGTGGCTACCGTAGAAGAGCTTATTATGACATTTATCTATACTTGTGTATTTCTTGATCGTTCTTATAATATTTCTCTCACTATTTCATCTTGTCACGGCAAGCTGCAAGGACAAGGGCGCGAGCCTTCGTCTCCAGAAAGTACAGACACTACAGGAACTCTAGTGACGGGAAGACAAAAAAAAAAGTGTAGGGAGCCTAGTAAACCCTTCATACTGATTTTCTCTACTGCACTTGTCTAATGTATAATGTACCTGTTTTTTTTTTTTTTTTTTCAAAATCATGGCCACCGTGAAGCTGTCTAGGACTACGTCGCAAAAATCACACAAGAAATATAATAAGACCCATTAAGAAATACACAAGTATAGATGAATTGATATATGTTATGCCGTTTTTGTGCTGAAGCCTACAGTTAAGCCCTTTGGGTAGCCTCGAGCTTGAGTGCCTCACAAAACACAGTTCAGAGGATAAAAGACTTCATTGCCTGAGAATGGCAGTACAGTGAGGACGAATTGATACAATGCAGCTTCCAAGGTAATTTTTCTTAGCAGCTGTGAAGAAGGTAGGAAGGTAATTGCTTGTGTCTGAGTGAACGATCGTTATATTTACGTGAAGGTAACCACTGTGTAGGTCAGGCTATATTGAGCACTACTGTTGCTGGCCATTATGTTCCTTCACAAGGGGGAATTAATGCTATTGAAGGTCTTTTGATATAAATTTGAACTGATCTCCACCTTATTGGAGCAAACCTGTTTAGTTCTCATTTCCCCAATGCTGTTTGACCCTTAGGAGTTTTAATGCCTCTCCATAAATGTAATAATGGTGGACATTAATAATACACATGGTCAGATCATGCCCCCTCCCCTCGTCTCAATAGTTAAAGCGTGTGGTTTTTCAACGAATTCGCCAATGCCCTCCGATGCACTGCCTGTCGCTATTTACCCTTTTGTATAATTTGCATTTTTTTACGGTTAAATAAATTTAAGACAGTTTAGGTTCCAGCAACCTAGCATAACCTAAAATGGTATTTAAATATTTTCCCTATTACAAGAACTTATCTTTTTTACACATCTCTGCATCTTGCGCAGGAAAAGCAGCGAAAAGAGTTAAAAAACAAACGCACGTAAACACAGTAAAATATAAACGATGCATGTATATTTAAAGGAAGGGGGGGGGGGTGCTAGACCCAGCAGGCGTATTGTGGTCATTGGTACGTTAATAGGTAATTGGTATGTATTAGCCCTTCTCGAACCACCACTAATAATCGTGTAGATATGAACGTTTCTTGATTATGGTCAGCTACTTCGTTGCTGTAAGTTTATGTAACCTAACCTAGCTAAACTTTATTAATAAATTTGTAAGATTACAGGAAGCTTGAGGAATTGGCATTAGGCCCTTTGTACGAAACTGAACTTAGTAAAATGAGGATAAGTTGCGAGTGGTTGGGTCCACGTAGGGCCTGGCTGCTAGCCAACCACCACTAGCCTGTCGTATTACATGCACATACAATCATAATCACATTTACTCTGCAGGCGCTCTCATGCCCCCGTCATTCACTCTACCACAAGTTTTCAACCAAGCATTGATAGTCCAAATAATTTAGACAGTATTAGCTGTTTACGAATCATTATACCCTTATAAATCCGAAGAAAAATCTAAAATTTAAATATATCATCTTGTTATATAATTGGTTATTACGAAAATATGAGGTGCGTGTATAATTCAGCAGTGTAACAAGTGTAGCAGTGTGATGTCTTCATCCACGATACTCCAAATTCAGTATGCCACGTGTTTAATACCTCAACCATTGTATTTCTACTCCAAGATTACAAGTTTGCTGCCTTATCAGGGCTCGTTTTTTTTCACTCGTGTGACATTCGCTGCAGCTTTTATCAATGTAGTTGGTTGCCCTTCTGTTTGGGTCTTCATTTTTTGGCAGCATTAAATGCGAACACGCACCTAAACACAACAGTTAAAAGTTCACAATCTATTCTGTTCATGAGAAAGATAATGTAGCCAAACTTTGGCACACTTTAGATTCTTTAGTCAGATATGTTGCGTTTTATTTATACGTTCATTAGACTGTTTTAAGCAAAACTAATTTCTTATACACAAGTCGTATTACAAGCAGCGCCACCAACATGATTTACAACTGATGAAATGGACACTTATTCAACACTTGGGTATTTTTATTGTGGAAACGTTTCGCCAACCAGTAGCTTCCTCAACCTATAGCTTCTCCAAACCAGTTATCTACAGGATTTGTAACTGTTGAATGTATTTACTTATATTAAAATTACATTAATATGAACAAAATTAATATAAGCTGCACGTATTTATTGTTCAGGTGCATGTTTCATGTTGTCTAGTTAACTAACACCTTGATTAATAGCATTATGAATTCGTTTAAACAATTTTCATATGATTTTGTGTAATAATTTTTGTAACATTTCATTTATTTTACGCTTATATCTACGAAATAGTTTAGCATTTACATTAATATGTATATTTAATCCTTCATGTTTTGCCTGGGGTCACCGTGCTTCAACTTTTGCTTCTTTTGCAGATTAGTGTTTGGGACTCTGTTCCCAGCCTACTACTCCTACAAGGCAGTCAAGACTAAAAACGTTAAAGAATACGTAAGTACCATAGTTGTGTGTGCTTATTTTAATCTAATACAGTATGAGAGTATTTGTATTTGGGTACTCCTCTTTGTGCCAGTGGTGGTGGTTCTTGTTGGATAGTTTCAACCTGTGTATGGTTTGATTGTATTAGTTTTGTATTGCCAAGAGCGCTGTGATCTCACAAGTCAAAGCTCTTTGTATATCTCACAACAAAGAATCCTACCATAGTAGTATGTCTCAAGGGTAACCATGGGTGACAGTTGATTTCTTATATCATTTATAATCGCTCTGGAATTGGAATTATGAATATTTAAAACAATATATTTTTAACTAGAACTTGAATAAGTTTATGTGTAGAAAGATGTAAATGTTAAAGTTTATACTGATGAACTAAACTAAAATCTGAGTAGTGAAAGATATGGTTATTGCATAAGAGCTACAAGTGGCTGGGTTCATGTTATTGTTTACGTAATGTATTCTACTGCCTCACACCAGATGATTGACAAGTGTGAAGATTTTGCAGCTGAACATGACACCATTTACCACACATTCATTCTACTGCCTCACACCAGCTGATTGACAAGTGTGAAGATTTTGCAGCTGAACATGACACCATTTACCACACAGTCAAGACAAAGGGATAAGTAAACAAGTCCTTCACTCACGACACTCAACATGTCTGAGTCACAAAACCAGCAGTGACAGGATAAATAACCTCACTGTTAAACCGTCAGATAACTGCAGAAACCTTGAAATAATTTCACTGTTGAGTTACAAGATAACTGCACTAATGAAGATGAGGTGACTTCACTGTTAAATCATAATATAAACTTACTGTTAAACAATAGATAACTTCATTGTTGAACCATGGGACGACTTCACTTGAATCATAAAATGACATCACAGTTGAACCAAGTTGGACCGAAACTTCGCCATAAGTTTATCTCCTAAGTTCGGATTATTTGTGCATTATTCTAGTTGTATTGTGCCCTTTTATTCTTTCATCACAAGATAACTTCTATGTTGAACCACAAAATAACCTCACTGTTAAGCCACAAGATAACTTCACTTGTTGAACCACAAATAACCTTTGTTGAACCACAAATAACCTCATTGTTGAACCACCAATAACCACAGTTGAACCATAAGATTAGCTTCACTATGGAATCACAAGATGACCTCATTGTATACCGTAATAAATGTCGTATAATTATCATAGGCACTTTATATTGCATTTTCATTGATCAGCAGTATGTGTGAGTGGTGCGTCTGTTCAAGATTAAATGTTTCCTCCAGCTGATGTTATACATGCTTTGATCGTGTTGATAACTTTTTTGTGTTTATTTTTGGTTACATACATATTTTTATACGTTTATGTAGCCTAACTTGTACAAGCACAGGTATGTTAATACAGGCAGATTGTAGGATTGGTAAAACCACTGGTAGCGAAGCCTCTCCTTCAATCAATATCTTTATGTGTAGGCATCTTATTCCCGTAACCTAGCCTAATTTAAAATAAATGTGATTTATAAGTTTACTGAAAATATTCAAAACTTAACACAGGAAATTGCACAAGAAAATGAACGAAGCAAAATGAGGATAGGCTGGTTAATCAGGGGTCTAATATTGATCACTTCATTGACTCCGTTATTCCTATTGCTCCTTGAGTTTGTTGTCGTTCTTGATGTCCTCTCTCGTAGGTGTAGAGGAAAGTCAAATCATTTGTGTTTTTTGGCGGTGGTTATCTGGACTATGGAGTGTTGTGATGAAGGTTGATGAGTGTGTAAAAAGTGATAGAGAAGGGAGAGTGGTGATGGCTGTTTGTGCAGTGTGATGGTGGTGGATGGAGGGTTGTGGTGGAGGGTAGTGGTGGCGGGTAGTGGTGGCTGTTTTATTAAGAAAAGTGAGTGCTTCAGCAATGTGTGCCGCTACCCTAGGGTATGATCAGGCTTCACTGCCATATTCCATCACACAGAATGGGTTTCCTGCATCAAGTGATGAAATGTTAACATGAACAAAGACACTTCAACAAGGCGTTGAGAATATCACCAACCATTCCACGACTCTTCAGCTTCAAAGGTTTCGTTCCAACAGAGCCAAAATTATTATTACCTGGGAATTATCTCTTGTAATGGCCTATCCCATACACATTAGGGAAGAGGAATTTGAGAATATCATTATCAGCGGTAGAACCATCACAAGGAAAAAAATATAATAGATGCATATGAACACCTGCGTATCCATGGACACCATCAATTGTAAAACACGTACACAGGTGCATGCGAAATCTCTGGTGGTGTAGACTAAGAGGTTTGAGAGTTGATACTGGGTATACTTTATAGCGAGGAGGAATGATGTACTAATCTTAGCGTTTCATCTCTGGATCATCACCCCTCAAGGAAGGTTCCTTGATGTTGGTGAGGGGCTCTTGATTTAGGGAATTGGATCTGTGCTCTAGTTCCCCGAATTAAGCCTGAATGCCTTCCACATCCCCCCCCCAGGCGCTGTATAATCCTCCGGGTTTAGCGCTTCCCCTCTATTATAATAATAATAAATAATCTGGATCACCATCACTTTCGACAGTTGTCTGCATGCCAGAGGTGGTAATCAGACCTCGAGCTTCCCCAGTGTTTAACCCAGCCTCTAAACCACTGGAACCCAGCTTTTAGCTGTAGTTTTGAGAAGAGCTTCACCATTGTTGAACATAGGAACGAACGCACCACAATGCATTTTTTTTTTTACACAGGGTTTAACAAGAAAGGATTCCTAACTTCATTTACAGGCTAAGAGCTGTTGCATCAGCTCATTTAAAAGCCGTTTTATTACGAGACATACAAATAGGGAACAGGATGAAGTTGGAATCATCTGTGGGCCAGCATTTGATCAACTGACTTTATTTCGTTGATATGCATTACGAACATGCTCCAGACTCGAGTCATCCTAGGAATAAGTGATCTCAGATATAGCGATGTTCTGGAGAAGGGTAGTCAGAGTGAAGTTGCTGCTTGATGCTCGTCTTGTGTAAAAGCTCATTTCTCGCTGGTAACCATTCACTGTATTACGCTTGTATAAAAAGACAATAGATATTAGGGTTTGATGAGACCTACTGTGCCCCAGGGTCATAGGGTTATTGCCACCCAGAATACTGAGCAGTAGTAATCCGTGCCCCAGTCATATTTCCAGAATCAGAGCTCCAGCTTCAGTACCCGTACTTTCCAGATAAATAAGATACATGTGCAACACTTTGGCCTCTTTATTTGTCGAAAAGATTGGAAAATAAACGGTACCTCCGTTTTCGCGCCATCAACAACTTGGTCTCCACTTTCCGGGTCATTGTACGACTTAAGAGCATTGAACTACCCTCTCTGTACAGTACGTGCCTCTTTGTGATTGTTCTTCGTGTTCAATGTTTCTAGCACAGTGCAACGGACAAGTGTAGTAGTAGTAGCAGCAGCAGCAGCAACAACAAACACAGCAAGAGGTATTCTTGAGCTTCCCCAGCGCGCTCGGGCTTAATGCCCAAGGCTGGGGTGTGACTCCAAAAGGATCCTGTAGTGCTTGCTGCCTTTGCGCCTCCAGACATCGTCTGCTGCTATGCAGCTGCCACACTATTCGAGCCGAGAGTGGGAGGGGTTTGTGGCAGCCCAAGGTGCCTAGCTTCTCCCTCCGATCTCCGTGGGGGTGGGGAATGGGGCTAGGCCTGGGGACAGCTGGTCCCAGAAGACGAAGAGGTTTTTGTACTTCCTCCCATGGCAGACATTGGTCTGAGACACTCCCTCAACAGGGAGCCAAGGCCGGGCTACCTCTTGGAAAAGGCCCGGGCCGGGCGATTATACCGGCAAATCTACAACACAGCAGAATGTTTCTAACACTGTATAATGTGAACATTAAAATGGTATAAAATACCGACAGGTATTTTAGTATGGAACAATGCTCTTCTCCAGACTGAGGGACTGACCACCTCAAAACTTTAAGGGTGATGGACTGATTACATCGTCTTCAAGTATCTTCTGCTTCTATCAACTTTTCTGTACTTGACTGAAGAAGCCTACTGTGTAGGCGAAACGTTTCACAATAAAGATACCTAACTGTTGCATATGTGTCTTACCTAACAACACTGTATAATGTATTTTAACGTCTTCACTGTTTTTAAAAATGTATGTTAATATTTATTTAGATATCTGGATGTCTTCCACATTTGTGAGTTAAAAAATCTCCCAGTTCTGTCTTGACTTAATTCTTCTTCTTTTATTTGCCACTGTTTCTCCTACTCTGTTCAGTCTGGTATCTTTATTTTGCTAACCTCGAGTCTGTTAGATCATCTCTTCCGTGTCGTCAACATCCTCCTGGCTCCTCTCTTAGTTTGCTGAAACTTGGTTGCATTGATTTATTATATTATAATGGTTACTAGGTTGACTTGAGACACAGACAGACACACACAGACACACACAAACAGACACACACAAACAGACACACACACACAGACACACACACACAGACACACACACAGACACACACAGGAGCTCGGACTCGACCCCCGCAACCTCAACTAGGTGAGTACACACAGGCACACACACACACAGACACACACACAGACACACACATACAGACACACACACACAGACACACACCACCATTACCACCACCACCACCACTACCACCACCACCACCACACTACCACTATCACCACCATTACCACCATTACCACCACCACACTACCACTATGCACATACCTGCAGCATACGGGCGCCTGGCAAACCTACGGATAGCGTTCCGATACCTCAGTAAGGAATCGTTCAAGACTCTATACCATTTACGTCAGGCCCATACTGGAGTATGCAGCACCAGTTTGGAATCCACACCTAGTCAAGCACGTCAAGAAATTAGAGAAAGTGCAAAGGTTTGCAACAAGACTAGTCCCAGATACGGGGATTGTCCTACGAAGAAAGGTTGAGAGAAATCGGCCTGATGACACTGGAGGCCAGGAGGGTCAGGGGAGACATGATAACGACATATAAAATACTGCACGGAATAGATGAGGTGGACAAAGACGGGATGTTCCAGAGATGGGACACAGACACAAGAGGTCACAATTGGAAGTTGAAGACTCAGATGAATCAAAGGGATGTTAGGAAGTATTTCTTCAGTCATAGAGTAGTCAAGCCGTGGAATAGCCTAGAAAGTGAAGTAGTGGAGGCGGGAACCATACATAGTTTTAAGGTGAGGTATGATAAAGCTCATGGAGCAGGGAGAGAGAGGACCTAGTAGCAATCAGCGAAGAGGCAGGGCCAGGAGCTATGACTCGACCCCTGCAACCACAAATAGGTGAGTACAGACACACACACACACACACACAACACACACACAACACACAGACACACACAGACACACACACAGATACACACACACAGACCCACACAGGCAGGAACCATACATAGTTTTAAGAAGAGGTATGACAAAGCTCAGGAAGCAGAGAGAGGACCCAGTAGCGATCAGTGAAGAGGCGGGGCCAGGAGCTGAGTCTCGACCCCTGCAACCACAATTAGGTGAGTACTCTCTCTCTCTCTCTCTCTCTCTCTCTCTCTCTCTCTCTCTCTCTCTCTCTCTCTCTCTCTCTCTCTCTCTCTCTCTCTCTCCTTCTCACTCACTCACTCACTCACTCACTCACTCACTCACTCACATCTCACACACACACACACACACACACACACACACACACACACACACACACACACACACACACACACGCACGCACGCACGCACGCACGCACACATTTTTTTCTTCGCCTGTACTGGGATAGGGATATATTGCACTGTATACATTTTCTTCTTTTCACCTTCACTGCCATTTAGAAGCACATTGGTATAATAATAATAATAATATCTTTATTTCTACAAGTACATGGTATACAGACCTAGCTGACATGAATGACATGCTTCTATGTAGAAAGCCCCTTGTTATGCAGAGCATTTCTGGCAAATTAGGTCAGTTTTGTCCCAGGATGCAACCCACACCAGTCGACTAACACCCATGTACCCATTTTACTGATGGGGAACATAGACAACCGGTGTAAGGAAACTAGCCCAATGTTTCCACCCTCGCTGGGAATCGAACCCAGACACTCGCTTTGTGAAGCAAGAACTTTGGCCACTAGGCCACGGGGCACCCTGGTTTATGTCTCGCTGTGGTAATGTAACTGTATTAGTAGTTTTGTGTGTGTGTGAGAGAGAGAGAGGACGGGGGCAGATGTAGCAATTACGTGTATATTAAATAAGAAGTGGGTGATGTAGGACGCTCCTTGCTGCACCTACTCCTCTACCCACCTCCACCATACCCCCTGCCACCAACCTTCACCAGTTCCTAACTTATATGGTCTTTTTTAATGGAGATTGTGGTGGATTGAGTTGAGATTGTTTCACAGTGATTGTAAATGACGAATCAGTAAAAAATTACTTTGTCCGTTGTTTCCAAATCAGTTTACCTAGCGAATTTTATCCTGAACAGTATTTCCAATGTTTGTTAAATTGAGAGTTTTCTGTATTTTACAAGGTTACCAGAACTACAGTACTGTACTGTATAACTATTCAGATACACTGTGAAGTGCACATTTACCAAAACTTTCTTGAAAATTTCAAGTTGAATTTGTGTGGGTATTTTACTCAAGCAAGCTGCCAATATGCCACAGATTTTCTTTTGTAGGCTTTTAAGTGTGATAGGGATAAGCAAAGTGAGGTAAGATTGGTAGGCCAGAGTAGGTAAAACTGTTGCAGTCATTTTAACGCATTTTCCTTGATCCAAGGAATATTAGCTATCCCTCTCCTTGGATCAGTTTTTATTTTTGATTCCAAAGCATTGTATAATCCTTAAGGTTTTAGCACTTTGCAATGCATTCAGTGGGGTGTAATAATAATACTGCAGTGTTATCTGAAAATACTTTGTATTTGAGTCAATAATGGTGTTCCTCATTCAACAGGTAAAATGGATGATGTACTGGATTGTGTTTGCCTTCTTCACATGTTTCGAAACACTAACCGATCTCTTCTTAAGTTTCTGGTTTCCTTTCTATTACGAGGTATGTTACTATGATTGCCTATATGAATGCTTAAAATACGTACTGTCAGTATTGCTTAAATAATTATCATATTTTTCTGGAATTGCTGTATGCACTCAATAAGTTCATTCAGTAGAAATTATTGTCCAGTTATTGATTTATTTTACTTCTCTCTTTTTAGATTATTGCCTCTGTTTACTATAGTGTTCCCTTTTATAGAGTTGAGTTTTAAGATACATCTTTTAATTTCTTGTTTTAATTCAGTGTAGTATTGATATATTTGTTCAATATGGTAATTGTAAGGGATTGATAAAACTTTCTCCAATGGGAATTTGTCTAGCAAAATAAGTATTGTACCCACAGCTGAAGATCTTGGTTGTGCTGTGGCTCTTGTCTCCAGCCACCCGGGGCTCATCCATTTTGTACCGCAAATTTGTACATCCATGGTTGACCCGTCGAGAAGATGACATTGATAACTGCATTGCTCAGGCAAAGCAGCAAGGTTACTCCACTGTTATACAGCTTGGCACCAAGGGAGTTAATTATGCTACCACGGTTTTAATGCAGACCGCAATTAAGGCAAGTCAAGGAAACCAGGCAAGTAATATACAAAATGTATAGTAGTGTTGCTTGTAAGTTGTCTTAACTCTTTTCCTGTGTTTCCTGGATGTACTGTATTTTATAACTAATTAGGTATCCCCTAATAGATGGGGCTACAATACATTGTGGTCTTGCCTTTCTTTCTCTTCACTGTTTGCCTAAATTTTTTTTTTTTTTTTTCCATCTCCCTACCTTTATTTCCAGACATCTTGAGAATGCCATTTTGCATTGATTTTGAAGCTTAAAATACTTACGGATGTTTATAGAACAAAATTCTTTCTTGAAATTAGACAGTGTAACCCCCAGGTGACTATTTTGAAAACAATTTGTGTTTATTAGATGTTCCTAGAAAGGGGATGCATTACCTAATGTTTTTATTTTTGCCAGATAGGAAATATAATTCAAGAATTCCTCTTGGAATTGGCCTCACATGTTTAAGAACCATGTATATTAGTAAGAAAAACGTTTATATTGCTGTTAGGTATTGTATCTCCCTGTTTGCCAATTATAGAATAATATTTTAGGAATATCAGCTTACTCTGGGGCATACATGTAATGGCAAGTCTAAACCAAGCTCACTACACCTATAATCTAACATCACATGATGCTCTGATAACCTCAAGTTGGCATTTGGTATATAATAGAGTTCTTTCAACACACCGGCCACATTCTGCCAAAGCAGGGTGACCCAGAAAGAAAAAGTTTCTCTATTTAACATTAGTAATGTATACAGGAGAAGGGGTTACTAGCCCCTTGTTCCTGACATGTTAGTTGCCTCTTACAACACACACAGATTCAATAGAGTTGTTACTTTTAATACAATAACTCATAAATGCTGAAAGATAATCATGCGGGTAAATAAATATGCAATCAATTCCAGCATATACCATATAAAGCAGAATGTCTCAATAATATTCTCTGACCACTTTATGCAAACTAATATCAAAATTAAAAAGGCTATTGAGGTCCATTATGGTACATAGTTGATTAAACATTTAAACTATGGGAATGCCTTAAAGTACTTGTAGTGTACTCTTTCAACTGTACAAGTTTGAGATACCTAATAATATATATGGAAAATACTTGAGGGTTAGGTTCCTGACTAAACTGCTATAAAAATGTATTGGGATGAGAAAATTGCTGAGGTGTAGAATAAGCCTAAAAGAAAAGAAAGCACGGGTACCAAAATTACTGGGGTATTTGGAAAGCTGTATGTCAGCATCATCTGGTGTTTTTCAACTTGCTACCAGCAGATATTGTTTAAGAAATGTTGCCTAACATAAAATTCAGGAGTTATGTGAAAGAAGATATTTCCATCTAAACCCATGCTGGTTCTCTCTTTGGTCTCTCTGTGTGTTCACATGTTCTCTTGTCTTTTTTTAGTATCTTAGCCAGTATGCTAGTCAGTAGTTACTTTTGTAATTCTTTTGTGAGATATGCTGGGATAGGAGACCAGATATATCTTAAACTATATCTACTTACTATATCTTGACATTTTAAGTTGAGTAATGTAGAAATTTTCTTCTTTAGTATTATGGGTTTTAATGTTAAAATTTTATTCACAGGTGTTACAATTTTATAGAAAGGTGAGGAGTTATTATATTGATATTTTTATGATTATTGCACAATATTATTATTGTCATTGTTATTAATATATTGATAATAAACATGTGTAGTTGCTTAAATACTTCAGATTGCAAGAACTGCTGATCTGTCTTATTTACACAATGCATAGAATGGTAAAAGTTCACAATTAAACAGAGTGAACTTTAATACAAATGAACAACAGGTAATGGTGGATAATTAATTGGATTTTCTGGTTTAATACTATTTAAAATGGAGAGAATATTTCAAGAAACACATTTTGCTTTTTGTTAGAACAGATTAATCAGTTGTTTATATAGCAATTATTATGTAAAATTAATATTTGCACATCTTAATGGTCTGTCACACCAAGGGACTGTTCATCATGATGTACTATTTTTTGTTTCTTTGGTCTTAACTTTGCTTATTTTTCATCTCTTGATTTATCTGATTTACCAATTAAATAAATTTTTTGCTTATTTTTAAAATTACATATTGAGGAAACTGTGTGTAATCAGAGTTTAAGAATTTTTTTCGTTTTCCCAAGTCTTGTATGATAGCCAAAGAGTGAAAAGGTTCTTGTTCCATTAACTCCCTTCCATTTTCCTCATCCCATATTTATGTGTGAATGAAGTTTCAGCATCCTTTTTTTTTCTTCTTCTTTTTTCTTGCATTACTTAACTGTACTTATCTGTTGCCTGCTGTTCCCTGGTGACTTAGGTGGGCAGGAAGTCTGGTTTTCTTGATGAATTTCTCTAGATGAATATTAAATAATTATCTAATACATCTGTCAGTGACTCTGGGGGTTTTGCCTCCATTGACCAGTCTCTGACCAGGCCTCCTAAATTTAAAAGGAAATTGCAGATAAGAGATATAGGAAAGACTAGCAATCCCTCAGAGTGCAAAACATTTAACAGGGTAGACTTATAAGTCAGTAAAAGAAGGCCTTGGTCAAATGGCCAAAAGATCAACTGGATAGGTTATCATATGCCTATGATTCACATCAGAAGAAAATAATTTTCCCATTTCTCATGACAGAGTTCCTCTCCCCTCACTTCCCATTCCCATTCTTATCTTTCTCACATACACGCACATCCTAATAGGAAGGAATAATAGTACTGTACTTCCTTGGGTTCCTTGGGTAGTTTTTTTTTTTTCTAATACCCTGCTATTGTAGTATAGTCATAATTTTGACATTTACAGGTAGAGTGTTCCTTGGGTTTATGACTTTTTTGGAGAGAAGAAAAATTTTGTGTTGTCATAAAGCAGGGAGGTAGCCTGGATGTGAGGGTAGAGAGTCAGTTAAGCTGACCGAAGGCTACACATGGTAGAGTGGGAGAAAAGATACAATGGGTAGATACTGTAAATTGCATCTGAGAGAGAAATGCATTTGAAAGGTGAAATTTTTTTAGCACAAGCTAATGTTAGACTTGTTTTAATAAAGGAATTGACCATTGCCTCTTATTCTATATATAGTACTGTCTTACATATTTTTTTTTGTGTAGAGAAATTTAGATCACAACTTACGGTATGATATTTATTTGTTTATGGGGTGGATCAGTGATCAAATTATCAAAAACTTCACAGAGCAAACCATGGATATTAAGACATTACAAGAGTCATTAATACTCATAAATCTGTCCAGTAGTTTAAAAATTAGTTTTTCCAAACTGAAATTTGCTATGGTACTGTACTTGGCATATTAAAAGAGGTACTAATATTACTTCAGCATTAGTAATGCCATAAATGTTTAGTGCTAGTACAGCTCTTCATCTTTATACAGAGTTAATATATGTATATTTTTTCACTTCAGTTTCTTTTATTCTTTAGCAATATTCCTTGACAATCAGACTTAGTCCTGTGCAATGTTGCAGATAGTAAGGGCAAATGCTTTAGAATGCTATGTACTGTGTACATGTAAAAATTATTATAAGCTAATTTTTTTGTAATGCTGTACTGTATTTATAATAGAGTAGGTATTTGTTTATGTGCATAAATAGTATTTAGGAAATTTTTTTTTTCCCAAGGTTCAGATGTAAGTTTGCCCTTAGTATTTGCATCTTTATTTTTTTTTCTTATTTAACCCTTAAATTACCAAAAGGTCTAAAATAAACATGCCCTCAGTGCCAGTGATTGAGATAATAAAAATTATATTTTTTTCCATCAACCCCAGACCCCCCTCTGACCCCCCCCTCTGACCCTCCCTCTCCCCTCCAACCCCCAACCCCCTCTAACCCCTCCCCCCCAGACCCCATTCCCAAAAATCTCCTCCCCCTCTTTTTTTTTTTTTTTTTTTTTTTTTAAATAGAAGTATAATGAAACAAGAATGAGTAAAATCGAAGTAGTACTTATGGAGATATGATGGTTTGAATGTAACCAGTTCCTACATTTTCTTATAGTATGTCACTTCTATTTATTATTTAGTAATATATACTAAAGAAATAACATTTTCTGGTTCCAACAATACTCTGAACACAACATTTTTTATTTATTCACACACCAATGGCCCAGACCTGTCTTCTCTGATGTAGGCCTAACTCAGCCAGTTGTGGCCATTTTAGAGGCACTAGAATTTATTCATAAATATACTTCTATGGCATTTTCCCAGTTGGTATAAATTTACATCATAGGAAGCTTAGAGGTTAAATACAATATTAGACATTTTTGAGATGTAAATTGGGATTCCCATGCTTGTTTGTGGTGCTCGTATACCATACAGTATCTTTACTATGAGTTCACTTTAATAAAAAAATTAATGTTTCTGCCCTAGGGAGGTGGTGGTATTGTGAATCAACTGCGTCGTAGTTACAGCTCTGGTGAACTAGCAGATGAAGATATGAATCGTAATGTTAAGGCTTTGCCACACATTCCCGATGACGACTATGACGATCGCAATCACTCCTCAGGTACTGCTGCCTCTCCTTCACTTACAAGGCAGAGAAGAAAGCGGCAAATGCTGCTCAACTAGACCTACACATTTAGATTTGTCGCATAATACGTACTGCATATTGCGAAACACTGCTTGAGTCCAGACTTAAAATGTGTGATTGTGATATTCATATCTGGTACAGGTCAGCCATCACTAATCCGGCAATCAGTTATACGGTTCCATCAGTAATCTGGCACTAACTTCGGCTAGCATAATTTCAAATTTCGTTATTATACTGACGCAGAAATTGTGCAAATAGTTGTAAATCCACAGCAGCAAGCCAGTGGAGGAGAAAGCAGTGATGAAAATGAGGAAGATGTAGCAGAAAGAGTCTCTATTGATAGAATAATTAAGAGTATTTTAACTTCTAACTTAACCAGTCTGTAATCCGACAAACTCACTAATCTGGCACACTACAGGTCCCATTGATGCCAGATTAGTGATGGCCGACCTGTATATTATTATTGTTACAGTAAAGGTATTATAGATTTTTAAATTTTCTCTATTTGTTCTCAATTTTTTGTATAGCAATAAGAATGTGTGTGTGTTTGTGTGTGTGTGTGTGTGTGTGTGTGTGTGTGTGTGTGTGTGTGTGTGTGTGTGTGTGTGTGTGTGTGTGTTGTGTGTGTATGTGTGTGTGTGTATGTGTATGTATGTATGTATGTGTGTGTGTGTGTGTGTGTGTGTGTATACATAATATAATTAGCAAATTTTATGAGCTGATTTCTGTAGCGCAATAAATTCATCCATTTCAGTAGAAATTTAATTTGTTGTCACTTAGTGTATAAGTGATAGAAAATAAATAGTTGAGGTTGTCCTGCAGTTAGGTAGTTTTTTATAATTTATTTCATTATTGTTCATTATCTTTCATCTTATACATTTTATGTAAATGAATATTCAGCTACAGTGATTAAAGTACAGTAATGTAGTTTTGCCATTATGGAATTTTCTTCTGTTTTGTAGGACATTTTGTTGAAAATAAATATATATATATATATATATATATATATTATATATATATATATATTATATATATATATATATATATATATATATATATATATATATATATATATGTATATATATATATATATAATATATATATATATATATATATGTATATATATATATATATATATATATATATATATTATATATATATATATATATATATATATATATATATATATATATATATATATATATAAATTAATCCTTATATATTTGTTTGACTTTGAGTGCTGTAGTTTATAAATGCTATTTGTCCAAATATTAAGCTTTTATGTTTCTTTTTGTACAATACTTATATTTAAAACCTAATTCGCTCTAATATTTTCATAATTTCTCTACATTCTATATTTTCATATACTATATGTACAGTAGTCGAGCATAATGTTTATCTATATAGTGACCTCACTGATAGTTCAAAGACATCAATAAGGGATTCTTTCTATATTATGCATGTGTGATTTTATTTTAGTAATTATTTGAAACCCATTTTCATGAGGCATTGGTGTATGTGTGATGTATTGTGTTTGCTCACTTACGGCTGTTACCTTTTATTTATACATTTTAAGATCTGATGAGATATATATTTGTATTTCTCATAAATAAAGAAAGGCTTTCTGTTCTTCTTTCTTTTTCACAGGCTTTCATTTTTATTTTAATTAATTGTGGGGTTTGATCTGCAGATTGAGACTTCTTTAACTAATTATGGTGCTGGTGCTTTATCTTATAAATTAGTACAATATATTTATTCCTTCAAAGTTTGGTCAAACTTCGTTTCATAATTCTCTCTTACCTGTAATATCATATTTGTCACTTCTATACTAACTGAACTGTTTCCATTTATATATTTTGCAACATGTACAAAACTTTATGTAAAGAAAGGGTATTAGTGAACAACATTATTATACGAATGATTAGTTTGTCTGCTAAACAAATGTTCACTTCGTTGATTTTATTTATGGTCATCATACACTTGTATTTTTCCATTTTTTTTTTATTTGAATTACTTTATTTGAGTCATTAGGTCATTCTACATTTATTTTCTTCTATCCAGCTGTTTTCCACCAAGGTAGGGTGACCCAAAGAAAGGAAACACATGCATCATCTTTCATGCAATAACCGTCTTGCCAGAAGTGCATACATCAAAATTCAAATTACCCTCTGAACTGCAAAATCACCACCCATCCTCCAGGGTGCAGGTGCTGTACTTCCTGCCACCAATTCTTGAGTCCATCTAGCTAAGTTCCCTGAATTGTTTCATAAATGTTACATTCTTGCTCAAACAGCATGTAAAATTCACATAATCAGTTGTCTTCGATTACTCCAGTCAAAGATGCTCACATTTGCTGCTAAATGATTACCTACCATTTTAAACTTCCTTCATACTTTACCTTCCACCCTTCATAGGAGTTATCTTACACCTTCCTTTTACCCCAAATTTATATACTTTCTTGGTCAACTTACTTTGCCAATGAGAATATAATTATAGTATTTGTCAGCTGGGTTTTTAGTCTTGCAAAAAAAAAAAAAAAAAGTTTGGAGTTAGTAAAAATCTATATCCAAGACAACAGAACAAAAGTGTTTGTATTAAAGCTAATTAATATATTTCCTGGCTTCATTACAAGAGGTTTAAGTAACTGAAGTCACAAAGTTATAATAGAGCCATATACATCATTGATATGATCTCAGTTTAATTATGAAACTCGGTTCTGGTCTCTGTATTACAAAATGGACATACTGTAAATGTGCTGGAAACTATACAAAGGCACTACACTCTGGAAAGGTGTAGAAGTAGGGGTGTAACTTATTAAGGTATACAGATGTTAAGAATATTGTCAAGTAATTCATTATGTTCTCAGGATATTTTTAGCAGTTTTAAGCATCACTCCTCGCAAGAAAGGTTCCTTGATACCGGTGAGGGTTCTTGATCTAAGGAATTGGACTCTCATCCCTTCAATCAAACTTAATTGCCTTCCATTCTCTAGGCACTAAGTAACTCTTATGGGTTTAGTGCTTTCTCCTAAATATAATAATTTAGGCATTATTAAGCATTATTGTATCTCATAAAGCACTAAGATTTTGCTTTATTTTTCACTGTATTCTCTGTTTACAAACAGTATATACCATAGAGGAAGCTAGTCTGATAGCTTCGGAGATTTCATAAGCTTTTTCACCCACTTGTCTCTTATAAAACAATAGCCAATTTAATGTATGGTATTTTCTGCATTTTGGCTGCTGTTGAGTTCCTTACCAGTCATTGGTCATTTGGTACCCATTTTAGTTGTGTGATATAAATGTGTGCAGATAAATTTTTTAAATATTTTCTCAGCATCAGATAAAGATATCTCATGGAATGGGCAAGACTCTAACCCATGGCAACCAGTCTTAAAACTAACAGGCCAGTACTGTTATGCATTTATTACACATTATTACAATTGTCACAAATCTTCAGATAAAATTTGGAAAGCCACCTAATACATAGTGAGAGAACAAAAACAATGCCATCAGTACTTGATGTAGTTTTGTAAATAGCTTACAGTACTACCTAGAGTAATGTAGGTTTATATGGTAGGCCTATATTAGAATACAATGTCTAGTGTAGTTTCTACTTCTAAATTTGAATATGCAAATATTGTGTGATATTGACAAAGAAACATGAGGTGCTCTCTGCACAAATTCACTTTCCATTTGTTGAGTCCTGAGCTAAGGGCCTACTATCTAGGTATCAACTAGCTTGTAGAATTTTCTGTATAAACTGCTGAGGTCAAGAATGTCATCATTTTTAAGGCAGTTTACCTTTGGTCTTGACACAACTAGACAGAGGAACAACATGAAGAACACGTTTTTGGCTGGGGTAGCTCTTACTGAGTTTATGCAGGGTGTGCCTCATTTAGATAATACAGAAAGATGTAGAACAATGTGGATTTTAGAGTAAAGAAATTTGAATTATGACGGAAACTGGAAGCACAGGAAATGCCCTCACTGAAAGACAAAAAAGAGATGGTTTGAATGCTGCAAATTCACAGTGGAACATAAGAAAACTGAGGAATATTTTTGGGAACCAAGAATAGGGAGAAAAAGACAACAGCTTCAAATTACATTGCAAAATAAATGTTGAAAAGCAATAGTATTGCACTTATTAACAAAGAAAATTTGGTGGATATCTGGAATAGCCTCAGGAGAGGTAGTGTGCACCACAACCACTGACAAATTTAATAATCTTCTTTCAACAGACCATCCGTATCCCACCAAGCAGGTTCTCCCCCCTTCCCCTTCCCACCCAAAAAAAAAAAAGTCTATCTTTTTAATTTTAGTAATGTATACAGGAGAAGGGGTTACTAGCCCCTTGCTCCCAGCATTTTAGTCCCCTCTTACAACACACATGGCTTACAGAGGAAGAATTCTGTTCCATTTCCCATGGAGAAAATTTAATATTTATAATAAATTAACTTAAGATAATTGCAGTAGATGAGTATACACTCAGACACATGCTGGAAGATTATATAAATAAGATAATATCAAATCTGTATATGACATGGGTTTTTTTTGCTGCCTTGCTATAGTTCGGATGGCAGTTTGGAACCCACATCTCTACACCAAGAGATTGCTCCTAGACTAGACTAGGTTCTTAAATACAAAACAAAAATTGACGAATCACAGAAATTGCCTCTATACTAGATCCTAAAGCATAAGAGCATTGAGAAAGTCCCAAAATTGCCAGCAGACCAGGTCCTGAAACACACAAGAACACTTGCAACTCCAAGATTGCTACCAGGCTAGGTCCTAAAATACAAGAACACTTAAGAAGTCTAAAGATTGCATCCAGATTAGGTTTTGAAATGAAGGGTATTAGCTCTGAGAAGTGAAGAAACTAGAGCCTGTAATATTGGATAAAAGAAGACTTGGCATTTTCCACAGTTGCAGTATACAAGATACCAGGAAGAATTTACTTAATGAAAGACCTGATTT